GCTCCGATCTGACATTCTGAGGGTAAGGAGAACAACTGCAGAGACAGGATGAGGGCCGCTGCTGAGGAGGCATTTAGGTGTATTGAGAAATGTTCCTTTTGCTCTGGGAGCCTTCATTGAGAGATGGGCACACAGTCAAATGGGTGAGTAATCTCATCAAAGGACAAGGCAGTGTTAGGCCATCTTGTTGCTCTGTTTTCCAGAAAAGAGGAGACTCTTCAGAAAGGAGTAGGGGGGTATCTCGCAGAGTGGAGAGCCTGCTAGAGAGGGTTTGGGGATACAAAAGACCTCAAAACAAAGCCAGACTCACGCCCCCCATTCCCACTCAGAGCAGCCTGATAGGACGGGAGTACAACTGGCCCTGCGGGCTCCCGTCTTCCCAGGAGCTGGGCTCTCTCACACAAACTGCAGACGGAGGGCTGGAAGGTTGAAAAAACTCTCAAAGGCACTGACAGAGGGTCTTCCGAAGTTTCTTTCTGAACTAGGCCTTTGTGGCCTTGCTAAAAGGTAGGTGGGGTGAAGTGATTTCTGGCATTTTTTAATCGTTTTATTAGGGGCTCATGCAACTCTTATCACAATCCATACATACATCAATTGTGTAAAGCACATTTGTACATTTGCAGCCACAGAGGTGGGCCTGGGGGGCAGGGCACCGTAAGATCAACTACCTGGGACTCCAGAAGGATCTGCTACGAATTAGCTGTGCCTGACTTTAGCCAAAGTCTCAAACTCCCCAGGCTTCCAAATACTCATCTGTGAAATGAGGTGACCCCTCAAGTTTTGCTTCCAGTGTGAAAAGTCTACTAACCGCCCCCCCAGCCCCGCCCAAGGGCAAGGCCAACAGGGAGAGTGGCTCTGATCTGAAGTCAAAGGGGACCATAGGTTCCCGTAACAGTCCACTCTTCAAGGCCTATTTATTCATTCGTTCGTTTTAAGCAGACACTGAAAACCAGCTTTTGCCAGGGCCAACTTAGAAAAGCGTGGGCACGGATCTGGACGGTGGGCAATGCCCTCTGGGGTAGGCCCCTCAGGCCAGCAGCCACCCTCTGCTCCCTCTCAGCGGGTGGGGGTGCCAGGGTAGATCCGTGCCAACCACAAGGTCAGCCTCGGACGCCCCCGGGGGCAGGTCTGCCCTGTCCTGTGGGCAGCTAGGAGCGGGCATGGACTCGGTAGCAGCAAGTGTGTGGTCGACCGACGGTTGCGAAAGCACTTCAAGACAGAGGTCACCTTACAGGTCCTACAACACGCCCTCTGCAGACGAGGACGCGGCTGAGACGGCCACAGCGCGTCCTGGGCGACGTGTGCCTGACCCTCCATGTGCCTCCCTGCCAGCTCGGCGACCCCTGCCCCTGCCCACGCTCCTAGTCCCACGGCCATTAAACAGCTAAGGGATGACTCCGCAGCAGGCTTGCATAACGA